GATTTAATTTCCCACTTAAAAATTACTCTACAGACTTTCAGATGAGTAAAATTAATTCGCGAACCGGAAGTGCGTTAGGTGGCAGCTGTTCCACTACACAAATAAGCTAGTGTACGATCCTATAATTTTGAATCGTGTTTGGATTTGTGCTATTGTCTATTGTGTGTATGTAATGTTCATGTAATGGGACGTGTGAAAGTCCCAGATAGACTCGAGGTTAACCCAGCCTCCTTCCCTTATTCAATGGTGGCTCCTGCACTTCCTCTCTTTCCCTCTCCTCAAGCCAACCCAACAGCAACAAATAGTGCCTACTCAGTTTTCTACACTCGTTCCTCCTATTCAGGACGTTGGCTCTTTTGATACTGGCATACATTTCATTTCGTTTGAAAAGGCGGGTCGAAGGAATTCGTAGATTGGTTGCACTGGATACCGCAGGAGGATTACCTTGGACTTTTGTCTGTTGAACTCTGTGTAGGAAATCTCGGCTCAGCATCCTACGACCCCGATGACTCCGTGCTGAAATTTCTTCCGTCCTGTGATGGACGTCGTCAGAGACAGAAACCATTATTCACGAAAAATAACAAAAAAACATTAAACCAAAAAAGGTGGCCAGCTGAGATCCTACTTACTTCTTATACCTTAATGAGGCATTCTATGATTTGGTTGGCTGATGTATGCTTGTCCTACATGAATGTAAGTGGGTCAAAATGATGCAGACAGGGAAGCGAATCTGGTCACAACTATTTATGATCCAGTGGGTCTTGTTAGAGCTTCGTGGATGCGTGTTTGCGCGTTGGTTGACAATTTTGAGTTCAAAAACAAGCTCCAGCTTGGTCTAGTCTTCTCCTTTTATTCAGTGGCTCTTCCTGTTACCTTTCCTTCTCTCTCTCTCTCATTCTATTTAGAAGACAGAGATAGTAATTATTCATACTTTGTTTCCTACATTCAATATTTTATTCAAGATGCTGTTTGTTTTGTTAATTTCAATCGACTCACTGATCTTCCGTTTAGCTGTGAAGTCTCCATATCTAAGACGTGATTTAGATTAGTGTCCTGTAGCGACCACATATTCAGCCACTTCTGAATTCTGGATCAATAAACCTTTGCAGGAGGTTCTGTGTTCTGATAGCCTCTTATGTATGGGTCGACAGGTCTTCCTCACATAAACACTACCACATGAGAAGAAAAACCTTATAAAAACCTGATCTGCAGAGGGCGTCGGAAGATTCTCTAAAAGAAGGCATGATCGAGGAAAGCGTTATTGTTTCTTTATACATTGTCGGGACAGGCCATTTCCTCAATAATTTTCCTATCTTTTTTGAAGTCTTGCAGGACGGTAGGATTAGGAACCTGGCCGAAGAGTTGTGTAATTCCTTGCTTGGGCCAAAATAATAGCTTTTCTTCACCCTATTTCTCAATATTTTGAAACTGTTAACAATTATTTCTACAGGGTGATTGTTCTCAACTAAGATTTTTTCTTAGCCTTTCTAACTCCCGTTCTTGATAATTTACGTACATTAGGCGTAAAGTCCTTATTATCATTGATTTCATTACGCCTACCTTAACACGATAAATATGGTCCGAGAAGAAATTAAGAAGGAAACCAGCAATTGTGGGTTTCCTGTTTTGTTAATTTCTATAGACTCAACTCGGAAACCACTTCAACTGGGCGTACTGATTTTAACTTAGGCTGTATTATAATCCCAAAATTACGCAATTTATCATCATGCCGTTTTGTTACTAATTCAGAAATCCTACGTAATTTCCTGTCGGTCATGCTCTGGAGTTTTTGAAAATCTACAGGAGACAGGATCCTGGCCAAATCACGCTGGAGTTTTGACTAAATATCTATAAATTTATATTCGTATGAAAGTAGGGTTACGAGACTACCAGTAAATCAGTGTAATCATATGTATTCAGCCTATTTCGTCTAAGGTGATGAAGGACTAATAGTAGAATTTTCCCACAATGATATGCGTTGAGCTGATGTTTCCATTGAATTTCACATAGCCTTGCTTTCCCAAAAGTTTTTCTCATCCAGGGTGTACTGCAGTTTTGACCTCGCATCGGTCTTATCAACACCCTCAGCTGGAGTTAAACCGCGTCTATGATTTGCCATGTTTAGTCTCTTGTGTGTCAACCCACAAATGTGGTGGTACAGCTTGTTTTGATTTGGTTCAATGTAATAGGCTTGGTATTATAGACAGAAAGAAGATAGAAACAGTAGAAGCTAGAGCTGGTTGGCTAAGAATAGTCGTGATTCAAGGATCACGTTTAAGATAAAACACGTCTATTGTTAGCC